TCTCCAGCGTGCAGACACCCTCTGCACGCTTCCTCATCCAACTCTGTAGCTGACCATTGTAAGCCAAACTTGTAATTCCTAGTACATTTGTTTATCTTGTATTGTATCTGTTCCTCTAGTAAACCCTGACTGATACACAGACAAAGAAAATATGGTATATCTATACACAATGGAGTACTATCAGTCATCTGCAGGGAAATACACGCACCCTGAGACCATACAAGTCTGATACAAATCAGACATACAAGTTTAAATACCACATTCTCTTCTACGAGAAATGTAAAGGGTAAATAAGGAGTGGAATGAAGGACAGAGACTGGAAAGTAGCAAGAACATGTTCAAATGGGACAGGGAACAAGGAAGGGGGAAGGAAAGGAAGGAAAAGGAAAAAAGAATGGAAGGAAAAATGGAAACAAAGCTTGTGTAAATGCGGAGAGGGTGAAGTGAGGAGGGGAATGAGGAAAAAGGGAAACCAAGATGTTGTTATGTACAGGTGCAAATTCCTTATGATTAATGTGATCAATGTGCATGACAAATATATACTAATAAAAATTAATTTTAAAAACCAACCATCCTTTTAAGAATCTGACGAAAGCAATGAGGGCTCTCTCCTCAGAGGGAAACATGAAGTGCATAAAAACATCCTGCATTCAATTTAAAGTTGTTTCTCAGTTTCTGCCTTTTTTGTATTTGAATAAATAAAGCACAATATAATGACCAGGCATGATGGTGAACGCGTGTAATCCCAGCACTGAAAGGTCGAGGAAGCACGAGCAAAGGTTCCAGCCAAAACTGGGTAACTTAGCAACTTAATGAGACCCTATCTCAAAATTAAAAGAAAGAAAAAAGTGTGAAGGCCTGGGTTGAATCCCCACCCCAGGGGTGGGCGTAGGAGGGGACACACACCAATATGATGATTTGCTGGAAGGAAGAAAACTCATTTTTCCACTCTAGTGGTCAGAAGACAGTATCTGATTTTGCACCATAACATAAGCTTAAAAAAATTTCAAACTTTATTATACACACACTTCCTACCTTTATGAGAGGACTCTGATTTTGAATAATGACGTGTGGAAGTATGCTGGTTTGCAAAGTGAACGCCATCCAGATCTTCGGCTTCTGTCATGGCAGCTGGTGGCGGCCTAAAGGGAAGTCAGAATTTAAAGAGATATCTAAGCGATGGTCACTACAATTCCATCTCTCATCAGAATGACTGCATGATAAAAATATTTCTATAGAAATGAAAAGCCTAAACGCTTTACAATTCTCCTGGATGGCTGCACAATCCTGCATAAATTATTTTACCCTATTGTCCCTTTGTTTTGATATGTAAGATTCAACCAAAATAAATATTTTCTCAACATCAAATATGTGTGAACCACAGTGCAAGAAAAATAAAGATGAACGAGGTATAATTGCTGCCACTGATGAGAAATTTACTTTGTGTTTAGTAGCTTTTACCAAGAAAAAAGAGGAAAAATAAAAGAATAGAAGAAAATGACAAAATTAAGGAAAGAAGGAAAGAAAAAAGGAGCAAGGAAAGGTGAAAGATAAGTAGAGAGGGAGGGGTGGAAGGGAACCTGATAAACACTGTGTGCTGAGCACAACTCCTTTATCCACCAGGTGACAAAGTAGATCTTAATAACTGTGTTACTTTCCATGTAGTACATCTATAATCTTTATGCCAAAAGTACAAAATTAGGAAGTTTTTATGACTAAAAACTTTATTATTATTTTAAATACTTAAAATATATTTTGAAACATTTGGCATGGATAAAGAAAACCTTTTGTGTTTTTTTCCCCATAGGTATATTTAAATTTTGCATTAAAGCATGGAACCAGATAAGGTTAAGGTTTCTCAAACATATAACCATGCAGGTCATTTTGTGCAACTGTGAAGTGTAAGTCTACTGGGATTTGTAAAGTTACAGTCAATTGGGTACAATGGGCTCTGTAATATAAAAATAAAGGCAAGTGTGTTCACATTTCTCATTCCTTCCCTGTAAGTCTCTCCCTGCGTATTTCACTTGCGGAAAATGTCAACAAAGGATATAAACTTATGTACACAATAAGGTCTGCACTGTAGGTTCTATACAGATTATGTCTATTAACCAGCAGGACAAATGTGCATAGCAGCTATTATGTACATATTTTGGAGTTAGACTAGGTTAAATTAGGTAAGAGATCTGTCCAATTAACAGTTATTAAGTGGCACAATTAGCACTCAAGAACAGAATGGATTAAAAAATTCGTGTGTTGAACAATTTTAGAGCTACATAAGCATGTGTTTTCATCAGTACCATCTGTACCCAGGACTATGTATATTTATTTGTGTGTGTGTGTGTGTGTGTGTGTGTACACACATGCACACATTTCATGTATCTGTATCTTTAACTTTGAAATATTGTTTGAAAATATATTTTTATTTTTTATGGGATACATGTTTTTATATTTTAACTTACGTTATTTATACATATAATTAGTGTGAGCATAACAAATATGGCTTATTTCTCTTCTATTGGAACCATCTGCTTAAAAATATTAGAAGTTAAACGAAAACTATTTTTCTTTATTATTTACAGGCACAACTTCTTAAAAACGTAGCTGAAGACTTCCTAAAAAGAACTGAGAAAAAACAATGTGACTCCAGGATCAGGAAATTTAGCTTCACAAAGTAGGTGGCTACAGAAGTGAGTCAAGCCCAAGAAAAGACAGCTGGTAATCACCATCAGAGATTGGATTCTTCACTCCTTCACTGCCCTTTACTAGGTGCTCAAAGCTGAGTGGGAATCACAAAACTTTCCATGATACCGCCTCAGCATGAACCCATCATCAAGGACAAGGGGTCTAAAGCTGGGGAAGAGAGCACAGGAAGCCACCAGTCCTCTAGGGTTTCCATGCAAGGATAAACAAATCACCCTAGAATATGCTCAGTTCTCCTGGTGTGTCCTTCTGTTCAGTGATTGGTTACACAGAGAACCAATCTTGGTTTACTGTTTTTCCAGGGGTTCTACCAAATTATTTTGTTGCAATGATGATTGTTTCAAAGTTAAGGGTATTTATATGCAAAGCTAGAAAAACTCTTATGAAACAACAGTTGATATCATAGATTTTTTTTTTAAATTAGGATTACTATTTCCTGTTTGCACTAAAAGATTAACATCTTTAATTTGGTGATATACCTAAATGCTCTTTAGAAATAACTTCTAAAGTCACTTCTTCAAGAAACCCACCTGGACTCCCAAACCAGGTTAAGTGTCTCCTTATGCTCTTATACACCCTCTGCTTTTTATCCACAGCACCTAAGACAATCATAATAGTTATTTGGATAATTATTTGTTTATACCACAAAATTCATGACAGCTTGAAATAACTGATTCTTGTGGGCTGCTGCTTACCCCACTTATGGGCAATTCTTGGGGTTTTCAATAAATACTTGATAAATGACTAAATGGAGATCAAATATAATTCATAGTCATAAGAATGTGGTAGGAACTAAGTAAGATTTGGAAGAGCTTTAGCTTTTTATTTTTTCTTTCCTTTTTTTAAGACAGGGTCTAGCTAGGTCACTAAATTGCCTAGGTTGGGCTTGAACTTGTGAACCCTTGCCTCAGCTTCTCAGAGTGCTGGGATATGCCTGGCTAGATCTTTAGGTTTTTCTAAGGTAAAAATGCAAGTAAAATCTCAACTAGTATTACCAATATAAAATCCTGTTGTTAAAACAATTTGGAAATTGGGTTAATTTTTTCCCATTAGAGTTACAATTACTTCAGATTCCTGGCTGGTTTTCTATTTCCTTACAGAGGAAAAATTTATAATGAACAAAGAAAGAGTTTGTTTCTCCTCTACTACTACCATTACTACCCTGAAGTAGTAAGTATCTTGACCTATGAAGGTCCATGGTTTTCAATCTCTAAAGCCAACTTTCTTCTGCACAAATAACTAAACTTTTCCTTCATGACGAAATGTAAAAGAGGAAATCATTGACTAACCCAAAACCATATCTTTGGAGTGCAAGATTTTTTTAACTACGAAAATAAGTATTTCAGAGAATTCTTATGCATTTTTATTTTGTCATATAAACAATCTTTCAAAAAATATTTAAAGACAAATGTTCCTCTTAGATCAAAAAATATTTAAGTTCTACCAGCCATGAGTCACTTTCCACTAATTTATAACAGCTATTTTTAATACAGGATTATTCAGTTATTTTTTCAATGTGCCAAATACTTTTTTAGAGTACATATTTACATTCCTACACTCATTTATCACATCTGCTGCAAAAGTTATTAGTGTTCTAAAGGTCAAGAACTTTGAATAACAATGTCAAAACAACTGTAAAAAAATTTGAATTTATTTGACTAAAAAAAGGGATGATAATCTAAGTATATTTACCTACTGAGCATAGGTTTTTTATTTTACTTGGGGGTATACTAAACCATATAATTCTAAAATGTGACATATTTGCACATGCAGGCAACATAAAAGCTGTAAGAGCAACAGGATTTATATGATTAGTCAGACTATACTACTATTGTCTTCACAGCAATATAACCTGATGTCATTTTCTGAAGCATATTTAATTTCTGAAAGCACACAACTTTTAAAATAGAGGATGGTTTCTTAAAGACATAAATACATTCACTGGAGGGAAGCAAGCTAGCAGTTTAAGTGTGGGCAGTAAGTGACAACAGCAGTACAGAAGTTTTCAGTATTACACAACTTACATTTTAGTAAGTTTAATAAATAATAATCAGAACCAAGTTAGTTTTAATACTTCAGTTTTGAAAATATTAGATTTAATGTTACGTCTGTCTTTTTATTTTAATTAACTTACACATGAAAACATAAAAACTGTACATATTAAGAGAGTAATGTGCTATGTCATACCTGTATCTGTGATGTAATGTCTGAGTAAGATTAAGCACACCTATCTCCTCAAACATTTATCACTTCTTTACGGCAAAAGTTTTAACACACCTTGTTCTAGCTTTCTAAATTACTCAGTTCATTCCTGTTATCCAGTCCCCTCCTGAGCCAAGAGCACACCAAATTGTTTCCCGTTTAACTCTGACCATGGATGGACCTTTCCCCACTCCTCGCTCCCCACCACACTCCCTGGTCTTCTTATTTCATGTAGTCGCTTTATATTCCAATCACATACTCTGCTGAAAGGTCGCAAAATGCAATAAACACAGAGGTTGCTCCCTTCAGACTTCCATGTTCCCAGGTGGAACTACAGAGCAAGCGGTCGGGAGGTTCATACACCAAAGCCACATCCATGTGCCCCAGTGAAATGTAGTCTGCACTGACCAAAGGATTTGCCTAGGGTATTTTGCCATTTAAATGCCATGCATACAACAGTGTATGGCATAGCAGTGACCAGGAAGAAATTAATAAAAATGTAAAGCCTGAGATTTTATTTAGGAAAACAGTTAATTTCATCTTTCCCCATTTGAAGGCATAAACTCTGTGAACGCCTAATTTAAGAATTTTCTTATAAAGACCACATCCTTTCTTATACACTCCAGTTTCTGTAAGTTAGCCCTTATTTGACTTACACAACCCAGTTTAAGACTAGAGAGAAAAGCTTGAGAAGAACACTGTAACACCTGACATCACAACTGCAGCTTTCTGGAGTTCAGTCTTCACAAGCAAGGACACCTGCTTACTCCACCCAAGCCAACCTGCTCACTCCCTTCCCAGGGCCAGCTTACCGTGCTGGCCTGTCAGTCTTCCAACGGTGAGCCTCACTGCTTTCTTTTGATTTGGAGTGTGCTGGCTTAGCAGTTTTTGACTATGGATGGAAGAACAAAACACATACACATAAAAAAAATCAAAAAAAGAGAAAGATGAGGCTTAAAAAATATGTATACCATGTTAAACTCTTCTTTAGTAATTTCAGGTTATTTATATTTAGTTGAGCAATATGAACTGTTTTCGATACACAGCCACTCGGATGTTCAAAAAAAATTATAGCCACAAAGATAGGGTACAAGGCCATCTGTATGGCCAAATGAGTGGGTTACACATATGTGAACACAAACTTGTGCACATAGCATGCCCAGCCACAGGTTATTAGCATAAGAGCTGCACAGAAACTCCTAAGAACTGGAGATACCGGAGTCAGTGCAATCTACATTTGGCTCTCAAACTCTCCGCTGTGTGCCAGGCGAGCGCTGATTATTTTCTAGTCAGGCAATTAAGGCACACACAAGTCAACTTCCCATGAGGAGAGCTACACCAGCACCAGTTACAGAATTCCGACAATGTAGAAGTCATGGTATGTGCTAGAAATGTATCCACAGTCCTTTGACTTTTCTGATTTTTAATCCATAAAATACTACTCTTTCCTAGTTAACAAAAAATCTGAGTAACTGTTGTATGTGGTGAATATAAGTTCAATTTGAGAAAGTATTTGTCAGTGACTATGTGCAAGGCACCACTCTGGACCTACATAGAAAGACAAAGGTATCTTTTTTTGAATAATAGTATATAATATAGAGAGGAAGACAAGTTATAGGCAACTAACTTGTTTTGTGTAGCAGAAGCATTTGGGGACCCTTAACTAAAATTACGTGTTAGAAGAAATTCTTGAATTTCTTAGAGGGTAAGGGGGGCGTGCTAACTCAGTAAGATCAAAATAAAAATGTCACTTGTTTTAAGACTAACAACTGGGTAAATGAAAAGCTGAAACAGTAAAACAACACTACTAGAACAGTTTCTATGCCTTCTTCCACTCTACAACCATCACAACCACTACAGAGACCATGGCGTGGGAAGAAAAACTTTGGGAAGGAAGACTTAGGGAGGAACCTTTGGGAGGAAAGGAAGTACTAAAGATCAACGTTATCGTGAATTCTGAATCCTATGTAAAATTTACTCACAAATACCATTAAATAATGAAATTCTCAAAAAAAAAGATCAGTGTTATCATGGATGCACATCCTAGGCTGCTTGGTTCCAGATCTAATCAAATCCCTCCTAAAAAGCCTCTATAGCATGAATTCTTTCTCCACCTCTGCTCCTCCATCCCACGTAGGTTTGTATTTCTCAGCTGCCTGGACCTTGTCTTCCTTTCTACCTTATATACCACCATTCCAGAACAAGTATCTCTGTCTGTTTAGGTCCAGAACGGTTCCTTGCACACAGTCACTGATAGTCTCTCCAAGTGAACTGCCAACTACCACACACATCAGTCAGATTACTGCATGGCAGAATAAACTGCAGCTACTCCCCACTTTGTTAATCACTTCTGATGGAAGGGAAGGAAACAGCCCAAGCCCATGACAGTTCTTACACTGTGACATAAGCAGTGGCTGCCAGTGACAGGTATGCATCTGTCACTCTTCTATATGTCACAGGTAAGAGAAAGAAGTTCATGAGGCATGAAGGAAAACACAAGCACAAGGAAAGAGACAGAGAAGAAGTAGATCCTTGTGAAAATTTTGAAACCATGTGAAAACACTATATTGTCCTAAAGCAATGTAAATACATGAAAACTAAGACCACGGATGACCTGAAGTTTCTTATCTCAGGGAGTCCTCAGAAGAACACAGCGAGCTTTCAATCTAACAGCAATTTTTACAGTTATTTTCAGAAATTAAATCCTTTTGACAGTAAGGAACTTATTAGATTAACATGTAATATAGATAACTTGGGTACCGTAAATATATTTGTAGAGCTTAAACAAAAAGTACAGTTCCCTTTCTAGTTCTAAACTTGTTTCTACTTAAAAACCAAAATTCACACCGTACCTTCCATTCGGGGTCATGCTTTTTGTCTGAAGATGTCTTCTCCCGCTCTTTGGCTTTCTTGTAAGCTTTCTTTTCTTCAGCCATTAGAAGTCGAGCAATTTCCTAACAAGATCAAGTCATTACTATTACCTACAGACACAGGTAGGAAGTTACTAAAATATTTCCAAACGATAGCGGTTAAACTTGTTACCATGACCTTACCTCATCCTGGGCTACTTGAGCTGCTCTCATGTCCTCCTGGGTAGCCTGTGGTAAAAGACCGCAGAAAGGAATCACATAATTGGAATCCACGCTGCCCACTTTAATAATCTTATGTAAACTGCTACTTGAAACTATGTCCCTGAAACTGATAAGCAGTTGGTGTACATTCACTAGCCAGAGCAGAGGCTCTTTTGCTCAAATTTGAGAGCAGGTTCGTAAGAAAATTACCAGAAATTAATGCAAAGACAGGCGTGCTGACTTTTAAGACAGTCGACACAACAGTCTGACTTTATCCACTTGAACATGTTCGAACATCTGCAACAGAAACCTGAAACTGGACAGTACCAATCTCTACATATACCATGTTTTTCTCCTATACATACATCCTATGAGAAATCAGATCACAAAGAATTTAGTGATAATAATAATAAAAGAATAACTATAACAATATGCTGCAATAAAACCTGTGAACTGCTCATTCCTGCCTGGAATTTTCTTTTTTTGTTTTCTGAAAAAGGGTCTTGCTATGTAGTTCAGGCTGTTCTTGAACTCACTACGTAGCCCAGACTGGCCTTAAACGTGGCAATCCTGCCTCAGCCTCCTGAGTGCAGGAATTACACATGTGTGTCACCACACCCAGCTGGAATTTTCTATTTAAATGTTTTGGCCTGTGTTTGACTCAGGGTAACTGAAAGCACTGACAGAGAACTATGGAGAAGGGAGGACTGTTGTCCTCTGGTCCCTCTCCTTCATTCTTTTTTTTCTTTTTTCTTTTGTTTTTTTTGTCCGGTACTGGGAATTGAACTCACGACCCTGCACTTGCCAGGCAGGCGCTGTGCCGCTGAGCTAAATCCCCAGCCCCCGTTCTCCTTCATTCTTCCACTACGGATTTACCGACTGATGGAGAACTATAAAGCATATTACATAATGTCAACTCAATTCACAGAAACACTACTGATTCCCTCAACTTTTGCCTTAAAGTGTACTCACCAGAATTTCTTCTTCTTGCAGTTTTCTGGCAATTTCAGCATCATACCATTCCTGATCTCTGTGGGTCACCCGTGATGGAGCACACACAGCTTCTTTCGTCACCCTTGGTTTCACTCCTGTGAGGCAAAGTTCATTGTAGTCAAGCAACTCAGGCTGTTTGCGGAAAAGTTTCTGTAGGAAGTTTTGCTTAATATTCAACACTCATTGAAAGTGCTTCCAGGCCAGAATTCAGTGGGGTGGTTTGAAAGGGACTGGAAGGGGCAGCACAGTAAGCCACACCCTGTAATGGAGTCACCCACCTAACCTGCCGGTAAAAACGCCCCTCTCACATCCCTTCAACAGCAGACACGCATGCTAGGAACTGCAAGTGAGGCCTTCACAAAATAGGAAGTGGAAAACAAGTCACTGAAAATAAAAGAATTTAAAGAAAAGAAAGTTACACCATCATAGCTGGAAAGAGGCTAAGCTGACGAGACTGGAGACGAGAGGCTTCCTCCTAGTTACCAAAGTTTCCTTATCCTATTGCAGAAACCCAGAAAGTCATCATCCGCCAACTATGCAGAAGTAGCCATGTGCAAACCAGGGCTCTGCCATGGTTTGTGCTCATCTTGAACAAACTCACTGTGTGAGATCTTTCTCACAGCTTCGACCCGTTCTTGAATGTCATAAATTTTAGGGACGCTATAACACAGGGGATGTGGCAGAGAGCACAACACCTTTCGAGTTCTACCCCACTGGAGGCAAAGGAACACGGGGGAGTGGTGGCCAACTTCGGCTTTTCACTTTCCATACTACAAGCAGCATATATCCCTCTTGTAATTTTCAATTAAAGCAAATGTTATTTCAAAACTGTGGATATGTATTTCCCTTTTTCTTTCATAACAGCTATTACCCAGCTATGTGAATGTATTATATGCAGCAATAATAAAAGCTTTGAATGCAATGGACAAGATCGGCCATCTAAGGCAGTGACTTTAAGCAAATGGACCACTAAAGGGAAAGGAATTTATTCTTGATTTCCCACCTCTTTATGTAGCACCAGGTCGGGCAGCCATGGCCGCTGACGAGAGGAACTACAACGATATTTGCCCCAACCCCTAGAGATTCTAATTTGAACAGCCTGGGTGAGTCCAGGCCCTGCTTTTAAGTCAGCTGATTCTTATTTGCAAGGAACAAGTGAAACAGAAGTTCAGTGCATTACGTCCACCAAAATAACTGTGCATTAAAATGACTTCCACTACAATGCCTTACCACACAGAGAGAGAAAACTAAATTTAGAGATTTTACATAATCTTGTGAAGCCTATCTTTGTAACCATTTGACCAAGCTTTGTGGTAAATTCAAAAGCCACAGACTCACATGTCATATCTTTAGAACCGGAAGAAAAAAGGTAAGCAACCCTGGCTTTCTTAGCTTCAGATCTTGTGAGGACCTGGTTACACAGACCACTTCATACCATCTTCAGAGCTACTACACTGTATGAGGGCTGGTTTTTAACCTAGAGATCTGCTTGCTGGAATAGCAAGAAACAGTGGCACACTCCCAAGAGTGGTCCCTATGTACATGGAATATGAGCCTCCCTGAATTACGATTAGATTGGTCTTAGCTTGAAAGACAGATTTCAAGGACAATAAATAAAATCAGGTAGGGAATTTCGTATTCAGTGGTGTCAATGGATAAGACAGGCTGCTACACAATATAGCTTCTTCATTATTAAGTAATACAAAACTTTGGTTTATGAAAACAACTTTAAGAATAGTGCTTTTACTTAGCTATTACATTTTAATGTAATCCTGACCTATTCTAGGAGGGCTGTAAAATTAATAAAGCAAGCTGGATATAAAATAACATGAGTCTAAGCAATTCATGCTATAACCATTTTAAAGCCTGCCTAGCTGCATTTTTAAAACCTTTATACTAACAAGATAAAAGAAACATTTGCTGCAACTCCCTGACTGGAGTCTGTGAATCAATGTTTGGTTTCATGCTTCCTAAGCCTATTTTAAACACCGTGGTGCATATCTAAAAGCCATAAAAGCTAACCACCCCTCAGAGCACATTTCCAAGGTCAGGGTCACAGAAGCAGAATTGCAGAGGTCACCGTAATCGGCATTCCTTCCCCACATTCCCTACTTCCTCTGGAACCCTAACGTGTCACTGTAAATCCAGATACACGACTTCCCTCATAAACCTACTCCATATAAGATGACACTGCTCTCTCTTCCATTCCCCCACAGCTCTTCATTCGCTTCTCTGTAACACAGTGAATCTAATTTGCAAGTGTTTGTTTTCATAGACATCTTTTCAGCTTCTCCGTTCACGCTCTGAGGCTTCGATGCAAGCATAAAGTCCAAGACAAGAATATCTGTGAGAAATACTCAGGATGGCTTGTTAAACTGAGTTTTGACAGTCTTTATAACCAAGTCTTTTCATCAGAGATAATGTGATAGAAAAAAAACCTCAATCAATCTGAATCTGCAACCTAGAAAACAGTTTCCTAACTACAAGCGGAACACGACAGCCACAACGGGTTCCCCTTGGAACCTTCCCCAATGCCTCTTTTCCCTATACGGAATTTCAAAGAGAGTTAAATAAAACCAGGATGATCAGTACGGTGTCGTAAAGTACCAGATAACATGGCGCTAGGACAGCATCACAGCCACACGGACAGCAGCACCTCAGCGGGCTACAGACAACAGAGAGCGCCATTGCTGTGTCCATGGTGGACTAGAGAGTTCGGCCCCAGGAGCAGTCCCGAAGCGTGAGAATTCCCTCTGACATTAGTCTCTAGAGCTGCTGACAACTTACCTGTGTGTGCGCTTTAGAACATCAACTGCAGGGCAGAGGCAGAGAAAGCGAGAGCACACAAAGGAACTTAAAGCAATGATTTTCCAACTTAAATTTCCTAAGAATCATCTCCAGCTCAAAAACATGCCCAAACTGACCCAGGAATTTGCATTTTTAGGAAAGAGTCTGGTTGTTTCTGATGAAAATGAACTGAGGCCCATAGTGTGAAAAATATTCACAATCTCTCATTTTATAGATCAGAAACATGTGGCCTAGAAAATCCAGTACTTCCAGCCCTATTAGCAGGCAAACAGTATTACAGCAATATCACCCGATCTTCTGGGTTCACTGGGGCAAAACCAGAAATTCAGGTGCTTTAGTTGGGTACCAAGGATCTGTGATGCAGTCTTGGCAAGCGAAGCAGGGTGTCTGGGGTGGGCACCTCCACTTGTTATCTGGGCCCGGAAGGACCTTCCGCGGTATCAGTGTATATTCACAGAAAGAGAAAGGTACAATCACTTCCCTCCGCCTACACACAAGAGATCAAGCCTATTACCTCTTATAATAGTTGCCTCCAGAATCTGTTTCATGTACATGAACACAAACTGGAGAGGAGGAAAGTCTGCTTACGATCTTACTATTAACGTACTCATTGTACGCACACATGTGACACCAGGGCACCGACGGGGCTGTCCTGTATTACCTGTGTTGTGGAGGCGGTGCCGCTCCTCTCTCTCTGAGAAGGGAGGAGACTTGGGCCTGTGTCGCCTTTCTCTGTGCTCACCTTGCCCAGGGCCCCTCCCATCCACAGCTTCCTTGCAATGAAGCCCCGCTTTCGGTGGGGGTTTGGGTGACAGCTGGTCTTGATGTTGGGAATGTTTTTCCCAATTCCGAGTTCGACGGCTACTTTTAGCCTCCCAGTCACCAGATTCAGTACTCAGAAACACTTCACCACTGATCTTGGGAAGCGGAGGCCTTCGAATCCTCTCCTGACCAGACAGTGTCCTTTCACATTGCTCACTGGTGATCTGTGGAGCTTCCCTCACTTTGTCCCGGCTGCAGGATGACAAGGGTTTCTCTGATGAACGCAGTTCTTCCAGCTCTTCCAAGTTCTCCAGCGCACGTCTTGGTTTCTCCTTCCTCTGCTTCACAGTCTTTCCATCGCTTAGGAGGCTACAAGACCTTGGATATCCAGAACCCAGTTCCCCGGCCCTCCTTGACCTTGGCTGGTCTGAGTGGAGGTAGAGGGATGTGAAAAATAAGAATGCAGATTAATTTAATGAGAGAACAAACTCATCACCCGGGGAAGTCAGGGCCCAAGTTTAACATCTTTTAAAGTGGAGAAAACTGCTTTAACTTAACAAATACAAAAGAGGGACTGAGTCCTTGCTGGAGTGGTCTATACATACAAGAAAGATTCTGGGTACATAGGTACAACAGGTAAGAAAATAAAAGTAAATATAACTTAAATCTGAAAGAATATAATCATTATTAATGGAGTACATTCATATTTGCCAATAACAAAAATTACAGCCATTAAACATTAAATTCTACTTTACAAAACCAATTTAGACCTAGTATAGGAAAAACAATAAGGGTCAATAGCCTTATAAAACAGAAAAAAACACTTTTGTTACTCAATCATAGGCTTTCATATATATTCTCACTGGAAATGACAATACAGATCTATCTTTTCTCTGCTAAATTCAGATCTTAGGATTCTTCTATGTTCCCCGCTTATGCGGTCAAAGCAAACCTTCCCAGCCACTTCAGAGATGAGCCCCTGTATTAGGGATCAGCATCAAGGAGGGTAATAGGAGGAGACATTTAAGTGAGTAAATGAAGCTGGCATCTTTAGATAATGCTATCTCTGCTTTCAGTTAGAAGTGGCAGACGAGGAAACTAAGAAGGGGTGCCATGCTAAAATCCGTAAAGGGGTCGCTTCCTAAAGGTACTTCTATAAGTTGTACACTACAGTCTTGTATAAACACACAGTATGTGACAAATACATACAGTAAGTCCCCAAGTCTAATACAAACTTCTAAACAGCACACACATGGGTGCTAATGCTGTCTCATTTAGGCACAAGCATTCCTTGCAAAGGAATTAATATGAAATTTGCAAGATTTTAACATTTTCTAAAACTTTAACTGAATTTTCGATATAGTAAAAAGAAATTCTAATTCCACAGAAAACTGCTAATATGGCTAAAAATAACATTACCTGCTAGAATTAACCATTTGCTGAACTAGATTTGAAGCAGCCACCACACTTTGATAACAGAACAAATACAGAACTCTGTTTTCTCAGTTTTAGGGGTTTGTGCTGTCTGGTTTGTTACTGTTACTCTGACATCAAGGCACAGAGTAAAAGGGAGATAAGCGTTATCAGACAACACTGAGGCCAGAGGTGCCCCAAACATCTCTCAAGCAGTGTTCTCTTACACATTTGCTTCAAAGATACGTGCAGATTACACCTGTCTGCTTAACTGTGTAAAAAATTTATTATTTAATTTATGGTTAAATTTGTGTTTTACATAAAATGAAAAATGAACTAGGATAATTATTCTCTATGGTTAACAAAAATCTGTTTTAACCAAACTATTATTTTAATTCTATCTAACAAAGAAAGGATCTATTGGCTACTGCAGTAAATTAATATAACACTGACAGGCTATTAAATAATGACCACATTCAGGGAACAACTGTTTACAATGCTAATATCAATATCGCAGGGAGTTGTACAGTACAGGGGAAGTCCACCTCTAAGGCCAAAAGGAAACAGAAAGGAGTCTGCTTCAACATGAATTGGAGAGGCTGCTTTTTTTTTTTTTTAATTCTTGCTGAACAGTTTTAACTGATACTAGTTCTGCTTCATAGAAATGAAGTACTGAAAGAATTTTTCAGTACTTCATAGAAATAGTACTGAAAGAATTTTTACAAAGCTGTCACCATGTTTTCACACTTGGCTAGAAAAAAAAAAATATTACCTAGTTCATCTGTTGGGCTATCTTTAAATGGAGCAGGTGGGAATCCTTTAAAACCTGTTTGAATCTTTTAAAACTTCTGCTATTTGAGGCCTGAGACTTTTACATTTCTTAATACCATGTTATTTGGCAAATATAATGAACTCCCTCATTGCCAATATATATATATATATGTGTACATATACGTGTAATATATATACACACACATTTGTATCTTATATGCATGCCTCCATGTTTGTCATTCAAAACAAGATGATTTTTGTTTAAACAAAATATTATCACACACAAAACACTGAAATACGTATAAAATATTTCAGAGTTTATACATCCTTCAGAAAAGGTATAGTCTTTGATCTTTTAAGCATTTGTATGAAGGACATATTTTTAGAATTGCATTTTACAAACAAGAAAAAGCTCAGAGAAATTATAGTAGAGAACGCTGTTACAAAATTACAATTATCCAAAGGCAGGTGCAGAACTTGAACACATTCTTATAACATTAAAAGGTACGATCTTTACAAAGACCACTAATACAGCCACAATGCAGAGTAAATGGCTTTGAAGGAAAAACATGGACTCACCATTGAACAATGTATCATTTCACAATTGACATTCTGGATAATTCCAAATTTACAGAAAATCTGTAACTGATCATTTTAAAAAGTAATTTATAGAAGCTGAAGTATAAGATGAAAGGATAACTATTTCTATAATGATGTACTATGATTATTAAGTAAATAAAGCAAAAACCAAAGTGCACATGGAAAAATACAACTAAAAAGTGCACCAGGTGTGTTGGGAAAGGGCCACTGCAAAGAACGGAAGGACTGCTTTGTAAGTATGAGCTGAACTACAACCTGTCTCTGTGGAATTCAATTTGGACTAACTCAAAGCGTGGAGAGGAGGATCACGTGCTCAGCAATCTAGAACTCTGAACAATACCACAGCTGAGACAAGAGAAATTACAGCATTTATACACATGTGCTGAGGTTATCACCTATCCCTCAGTCCTCCCCCAATCTTCCCAAAGAAGCACACATGCCACTTCCTGGCCATTCAAAAAATTAGTGAAAATAAATATATATTTTTTTAAAATTTCGGGGGTGGACCTGAGTACAACTGAATTTTTAGCATCGTCTCCTGTCCTAGAGATATGGATCAAGATGACAGTACAACAGGAAAATAAGTTTGAGTCTCAATTCAATTTAGTATAGGCTTCAATAAAGTCAGGTTAAAATTAATACTTTTGTGTACTTAATTACTTGTTATCCTAATGCTTTTACCAACTTCAAAGTTTGAAACAGTTACTTTTCACACTGAGTATGCTTCTAGAGTAGAATTAAAAATTAAACAAAAAAACACTAGACTATATTTCTAAGAGTTTAATTGAAGGCAGGGAATAACTACCTTCTGGTCTCTAGGACAGCAAAGTATGGTAATAACATTTCTTACTCTTACATGATGTAATATATAATTTCACTCGAAAAGCTAGCATGTGGAAGGAAGATGGTTATCAAAAAAGAGCTGAGCACTTCACATTTGGAGAAAGAAAGCACCGAGCAACCAAGAATCAACCAGTATACTAAATAACAGAGTAGAACTCCAGTGATTATGGTAAATTTAGTGCAAAAACTGTGACTGAGTAAGACTGTATCCAAACTGTAAAAACCCTACCATCCACATATGCATTCTTTCTATTCTTCTCACTAAAGACAAACACACACTTACCTTCTATAATGGGATTATAGAAAAGTAGCTGATAATTACTTTGCAAAGCCTTTGGGGATCACTGAGTTTAAAATCTTTACAGATGCTTTTAAATTTCGTTCACTGCTTCCCCTAAGTATGCTCTCCAAGCTGACCTTTGACAGTGACACTTGAAACTACGAGGATGTCTTTCTTTTAGACGATCTTTGGAAAGGACTGAGTTATACTTGCAAGTGCTCTTTCCCAACACACTTTGAAGATAAAGAATTACCAGCACCACATTGCAACCACCACACCACCACCGTCACCAGCCTACAAACGCAGACACCAGGTAAGCAAGACTGTGGAGGGAATTTTTTCCCTCAAAAATTATTCTATATTGTAATCAAATAGCAGAGAAAGTTTCAAAATCAAAAAATGCAGTTCATAGTGTTTGTCGTAGGTAACTAAAGCACAGAACCAAGATTCAGAAAAGAAAGTACGGGGGATAAAATCCTATTACCCAGTAACTAATACATGGTGCATCTGCTTTATTCATGCCACGTCTCTAATTCAGACAAACAGCACTGCCCAGATTTCTTCAAAAAGTTAAGTTCAGAGAGTCACCCACCATCTCCATACCCCACTTTATGTATTCAGAATATGATATAGTGCTTCAAGAGGCTGTAACAGAAAAGAATGTATAATACTCAAGTTTTGCAAAGCCATACTCAAGGCTTAATAGTCATAAAAATGGCTCTGATTGTCCAACTGAACAATAGAAAAAGTTCACACTACTCGAATACAATCCCGCCTTAACTCTAAAAGCACCGAGTGCCTGGGAATAAGAGAAATGTTCTCAGGTCTCTTAAAGTCACTCACTTTATGCACAATTAATGGGTGTCTTGCGGTTGAGTCTAAGAGTAAGGACAGAGTAGTTCATAATGTAGGCATTGTTACCTTCATCGTCATAATAATAACTGTCTTCATAAACATGGGCTCCAGAGAATTCTGGAATGTGTTTCTTTCTCTTTTTCTCTTCTTGTAACTCCTTTTCTTGTAAAAGGCGAGCTATGTCCTGCAAAGACAAAAGGAAATCCAACACCAGAGAATGAACAAACTTGAAACAGTAGAGTTCAACAGTCTCTTAGCAAGTTTTTATGGGTTCTGTCCACGGCTCTGCAGACTTTCTAGTATTAATCTCATGCCGTCCAATCGCACAACAGGAGTAGCACTGATCTAGATGACTGAGACAGGCTTTTTGTTTTTGTTTTTGTTTCAATCTAACTCAATCCAAAGACATTCAAACCTAGAAATCACCAAGCTGCTTATACAACAGAATGTTTTAAATACACGTTTGTAGATCTTTCAAGCTGATGATTCAGTAAGTTTGGGAGGTGGACATAGTAATCTAAAAAACTTTCTATAGTGAACTATACTATAATTTAGTGTTAAAACTTGTGAAAATAAGTCTTTGGGTGGTTCTAATTTGCATTACCTTGGAGCCCCAGTGTGAAGTAAAGAAGAGAAAGCAGAGTGGGGGACAGTGGTAGAGCACTTGCCTAACAGTTGAGAGGCCCTAGCTTCGATTCCTAGCACCGGAAAGAAAAAAAAAGAAGAAAACAAGCTTCCCATGTTTCCTGCCTGTTTCCTACCCAGACAAGACTTTAACAGCTACTGTGTATAAGGCACTGTGAAAGGCAGAGTGATGAATAACATTCTAACCATATTCCCTGAAAGATGACTACACAATACACTTTCTGAAAACAATGGTAAATACAAACAACTACAATAAAAACTAAAGATACCTCAAACAAGGTTTAAAAAAATGTCTAGAAGTGAAAAAGAAAGAATATTAATTCTACATAAAAAACTGGTAGAAGATCTTAGATTGGGTTAGGACTTAAGAGAGCCAAATTTCAATGGGGAAACTAGAAAAAGGGAACGTTAGCGAAGTCAAGAATGTTTTCATGGCATCATGCTGAAGAATGACCAACAGTAAATTAAAACGTGTATGTGATGCTACAGAGAAAGGTGAAGCTAGAACAACAGTCACAGGCTGTATCACAGGCACCCCTCGGGGGCAATCTTAGGAAGTCTCAAGTGCACAATGTAGGATTTAAAGGGTATCATAGCTTTTGTGTTAGAGAGTGAAAGTGTTCTGAACAGAAGATTATTTACATGAAAACCCCAGAAAATAGTATGTATACTTTCATGTTCATGTGCTCTCTTCTGGAGGGACGTCTGATACCTCTCATGAGATTTTTAGCAGCTCAGATGAACATGGCAATAATACTAGTGCAAATAGTAACAATATCACCGGTAGTCTGTGATACTTCCTTTTAGAATACAAGAAGTGCTTAGATGTTAGTTAAGGAAATGTGAAGCAAAACTTACTATTGAAACTTTTGAAATTATCTGAATCTCTCCAAATGAAGACTATACTAAGACTACAAAGCAACTTAAAAAAATTAATCCCAGTGAATCAGAATTTTTCAGATCTACGAAGAAACAAATTGCATGCTAAGGATATGTAAAACAATATAATTATCCATATTTTCAATTATTTTTAAAAGTCACCAAAATAGCCTTACAAATCTCATTCTACATTAAGTAAATGTTTAAATTCAAATGACGTATTTTAACACATTGCTTTTAACTGGTATATACTTAAAATATGCACTTGATTATCACTCACACATATTACACAAATATTTGATAAATACATTTAAAAGCCCATGCCATACAGAGTCAAGCACTTAAGTGCACCCTCCCAAAATGCTGAAACTCAGAAGAGGGAAAAGACACAATCCTACTTCATAAAACTACACTCTCCATGCACAGAACTAATTCAGAAAGCATCTCAAAACAGGAATAATTCCTGAAGAGTTATTTTATAAAACTAGAAAACAGGGTATCAATGTTACGGCTGCTCTAAAAACATCAACACAAGCAGAATAAGAAGAGAAAGAAGTTTCTAAACTAGAGGCCTCCCTTTGGTCTCCCTTTCACATCTGTATAACTTTATTTTTAAAGTATCAAAACACAAGAAATTTTTAAAAAGTTAAAATATACTTCTATTGGAGCTAGTCTCCAAATATTATCAAATCAAATAAATATTCTTTTAGGATACAGAACTCTAAAAGCCTAAGTGCTATAAATACATGTCATGCTCATATCAAATTCAGTTTTAATGTACATTAGTTACTAAGTTCATCCCTGAGCTGCTCATATTGTAAATGGTTTCAAGTTGTTGGACCAATGCCACAATCTTTCATGACATGTTTGGCAACTCCAATGCTTACTTTAAAAAAACCACACTTTTTCCTAAAATAGTTGCACATTTATATATATTTGGAACAGGGTCCAAACATACAAATATATATGTAGTCTCACACACTAGTACAGATACACACACATAAGTTAAACCAACTAAACACACATTTCTTGGCTTTCTAAAAAAATACTGACAAATACTTGCGCTATAACTGCAGAAAAAGATCTCAATGGAATTAGCCCACTTTTATTAAACGCAGACAGACAGTAGAGCACACCCAGACTACAAGCCCTCTCAAGAGGGGAAATTCAAACTACCATATTTAACATGTTACATAAGAGATTTTTTGTTTATTTCCATTTCTCAGGAAAGAAAGAGGCAGGACAGGGATAGAGAGTGGTGAGGGTAGGAGAGAAGGAAGCATCCATAATGCTAGAGACAAAAAACCCTGTTTTTCTTATTTTTGCCTTACTACTTTCCTTACATTTACTACACCATAACAAAGGTAGAAATGCTGTTCATCCAAGACGTTCCATTACTTTCCACGACAACGCTGCTCAGGAAAAAGAAAAAGAAATCTGGCCAAAGAGGAAAGGAGACCTGGTCTTCACACCTGGTTATTTTAGATTATAAACTACCTAGGAGAGTTGACCCCTCCATAAAATGTCTCTTTAAAAATCAGGTGAACATTCAGACCTACTGCTGCATAAGAACTTGTTAAGTAAGCAGACTCACAGAGAAAAAGAAAAGCTCAGAATTAAAAAAAAAAAAAATAAAAATGACTAGCTCATGCGGAACAGGCAATGCTTGTCCACATATTGGTTAAGAGTTAGCACTACGGTCTCACTCTCCTCTGCCTTTGAGTCACCCTGTTTTGTACGGACTAAATAGCACTGTCATTTAATGACAATTTTATTATTCAATTTTTTTCATTTAAGAACTGATAACACACTAGTCAACTAAGAGTTATGCTTTCCTATGAAAAAATAACTTCCTGACACAGTAGTCATCTTCTAAACTAAAGCATAAACTAAAAAGTCAAAAAATCTAAATGAAGTTTTGAAAGTCTTATCTCACCCTCACAAGCATATTTCTCACCTAATTTTCCCACTTTGCTGGATGGGGAACATTTCAGTTGGGCACACAGAGTGGAGAATAAGTTAGTACAGGGCCTGGAAAGCAGGTGAATACTTATGCCCTTCCAATGATGCCATGCTAGAATACACTTACACATGCTTAATCCTCCCCTAATTCTGGACAAACAATTGTACAAGAGGTGTAATTATTAGATTAAATCCTGGTAGGAAACCATAAAGAAAGCAGTAATTATTAATTTCATATGTAACAGAGGTCTCATGTATGATCTCACCAAAACCTCTCAACAGTCTTTTAGTGTCTTTAAGTGTTCAACAAACACTGCTCTCCCGTTTTGAAACCTAAGGTTCTGCATCTTCATGCGAGATGCTGTAAGTCACACGGCTAAAAGTTAAAGTGTTAATATGCGTACCCAAGTCAGCCTAGGTCCAAAGCCCACATGTAGTATGCTGTACCATAGCATTTCTAAGTCAGCGCAGCCATTCAGGAGGTCTGAACTGTCTAAACATTTCCCTGGTATCTTAATGAAACTTGTGACTAACCCCGTTTTTGACTTAATTTCTTCATCTGACAAGTGAAATTAATCACTACACTGCTGACTTTATGTAGTATTACAATAAAATTACTTATTTTGATTGCTACTTAGACTCTACAGACTTAAAGTATTTTAGTTTCTCTATCTTTTTTGTTTTCAGAATGGGGAAAAACATAGGCTACCAGTAGCATTTATAAAGGTTCACTGTTACTTCCAAAATAGAAGCTTTCCTGTCTACAAAATAGAATCACTTCTTTCAGCTCCAGTTTCATCCCCAAAGCAGTCTTTCTTATAAAGAGCCAGCATACCCTGTAGTAAGAAAGAGCCTGCTGTGCTGACAAGAAGGATCAAAAATAACCCCGAATTCTTACTTGCAGTTTTATCACACAATCATGGTTTGTTTGTGCAGACAACTAAATACATTCATACCAGGTACCTCACACTCATCTGCTACTGAACAAGGGCTCAGTCAAAGAAGCAGTGCATGTGCGCTACTTTACCGATGGCCCTGAATCACATCTACTTAATAGGATGATCACATGTGCCAGCTTGCCTGGTGCAGTCCCAATTAATAAAACTTCTTAAAAGTACCCCTTTAACTCTCAAAGTGGCCTCTATGTACCTATCAAGTGATATGGCCACCCCACTAATGAAAATGACAAGTCATTTTCTTGTCTGTTGCAATCAAGACAATAGCCAAGGCAGGCATGATGGTGCACACCTGTAATCCCAACACTCAGGGAGACTGAGGCAGGAAGATCTCAAGGTTGAGCCCAATCTGGACAACTTAGCAACACACTAAGATCCTGTCTCAGAAAATAAAAAGGATATAGCTTAGTATGAAGGCCTTCAGTCCAATTCCCAGTACCACACACACAAAGAAACAGGAGCCAAGAACAGCTTAACAGATGTGAAGATAGATATAGAATGGATATAAACTGAAATGAATTGCTTGTACACAGTACTACAGATACATAACACAAAATCAAATAATAGTTAACTATAAATGCAATTCTTGTAAGCCAAGTACTACTGTGGTACCCTGTATTTACCATTAAGATAAGTATCAAAAACAAAGGATACCAAAGAAATTGCTTTGGCTGGAGAGAGTAGTAAGTCATAAGGCAATCGACACTGACAAGTTCTAGCTTGTGAGTTGAATGCTATGCAAATAAGGAGCAGCACAAAATTTTCATGTTAAAATTCCTCAAGTAAAAATTGATGTGTCTCAAAGCAGTCAAAAACTAAGGTATCGCTGTATTATTAATTCTGGCATTTTTAGCTTTCAAAACAATGCAATTTGAAAATAAATATAAAATGATTATTTAAGCCAACCACTTAAGGAAAAATGAAAGCACCAGCAGAAAGAAAATGAGAATGTCAGCCACTGGCATCTCACAAGAAATAAGCCTTAACTCTAGGTTCAGGCTCCACTCAAAGTCTACTCTCCTTAAAATTGCAAGACCACCAGGCACAGAAACCTTTAGTGAGGTTAACAATGCTCTCAATAATTCCTTTGACCTCAAGACCTCAGAATGGGATCATCATGAATGTGATTAAAAGCTGAGGTCATGCTGGATTACAGTGGGTGCTCCATCAACGATCAGTGTACTTTACAGAAGATCAGAGGACACAAAGCTACACAGAGAGAAGGCCAAGTGACAAAGGAAGCAGAAGCTGAAGGGATGAGGCTACAAGCCAAAGACTACCAGGCATCACCAGGAGTTCAGAGATACAGAGATGAGTGTTCTCGAGGAGGCATGAACCAGTCAATACCTTGATTTTGTATTTCTAGCTTCCATATAAAAGAATTTCTGTAGGGCCAGGGAGATAGCTCAGCAGCACAGTGCCTGATGGCAAGCACTAGGTCTTGGTTCAATTCCTGGTACAAAACCAAAAATTTCCATTGTGTTTATCCACCAAGTTTGTGATAATTTGTTTTAGCACTTTTAAGTGACTAAGCCATCCCTTTAACCAAATTCTCCACTTTCACTTTTCAAGACTTCATCACTCATGCAACTGATCAAAAGGCAACAAAGACTGGTCTATGGAGGACAAGGCTTGGACTATTGTACCTCAAGCAATGAGAGCTCTGCCGCTCCTCCAACAAGCGTACACTGAACTGCTGAATACAAAAAGCTTTTACTCCAGAGCTAACCACCCCTTCCTCCATTGTCTAGTGCGGCATTAACCAAGTTATACCTCATCTTTCTTCTCCTGAATGCGCCGTCTCTCAGCCTCAATAGCCAGCTTCTCCTGAATTTCCTGAGCAATTTCACAGTCCTGTTGTTCTCTAAAAAACAAAGGTGAAAATAATATAAATAAAGATAATAAGGAATAGCTTTTCCTAAAAATAATAAACTCAAATTACCGCATACCATTATGCGCAACACTGAGGTAGAAAAGTAACTGAACCCTCGCCCTGCCTTCTGAAGCACGCGTTACATTCTGGTGGTAGACACAAGGGACATCATGTTGGTAAGCAAGAGATCTTTCTGAGTAGTACTTTTTAAACAGTAGCTCCACACAAAATGTAGTTTGGTTCTCTCAGAAACCATGACAAAATTTGGCCTCAGACACTCAAGTCTGATTTCAGGTTTTAAGACAAGTCAGTGAGAAAGATTAAAATTCTAGACTGTGATAGCTCCAGGTAGCCATCTTTTATACAAAGTTACCAGCTAGGAACGATGGGTGAAAACATGCTGGAGGCAACTACCTAAAAAGATGCTGGAATAAAATTCTAACTGCAATTTATCACGTGTAGTACTTTGCTAAATAAATACATCCCTTCATTCTCCCCCTAAGAATTGAACTTAAAATGCTCAGTGAGTCTCAGACTTGCTTGTATAGTTCCGTGTTTAATATCACTCTTTTGTAATTAAGAACTGGAGACAGATATGGTGGCCCACACCTGTATTCCAGCACTCTGGGAAGCTGAGGCAGGTTCCAACTCGCCCTGAAAAACTTAGCAAGACCCTGTCTCAAAATAAATAACACACACACACACACACACTGGGGATATAGCTCAGTATAAATATCCTGAGTTCAATCCCCAGTACTGGGGGGCAAGTCTAATATCTAGACTTGTCTGGAGGAAATGAAACCCAGATATCCTATTCAAAATTGAGAGTATGAAAATCACTCTCATTTGTATAAGGAAATGGCCATTTTCAACCTGCTCAGAAGTATGCAGATACAGGTGAAAGTGCATGTGTATGTACACATATACACAGGTAGAAAGAGTGCAAGAGGATATAAGACAGAAAGCTCATATACGAAACAGCAAGACTTTATTTTTTACTTTTTTTTTTTTTTTTGGTTTTGGTTTTTCTCCGGTACCGGGAACCGAACTCACGACCTTGCGCTTGCCAGGCAGGCGCTTAAGACTTTATTTTTTAGAACCAGCAGAAAAATTGCTGGAAAGTCCACAGACCCTGTTTATGGTCCTGCTTTACCACTACCAATTGTAAACCAAGCCTTTGCCTGCCATTTTATCAGCTATGAAGAAGTCTGGACTTCATGACTTTATATTGCATGTCAAAAAATTTCAGATTCTTAACTATTCAAACCAAAGAAATGAAAATAAAAGCCTACACAGAAATTTTTATTCCTTGTATTTTATTCACTTTTTTACTATAATTAAAAATCATATATCAAAACATAATCTTACTTTTCCAAAGACTTCTCTAGCTGGACTTCCCAATCAATGCAAAATCTATACAGGAGTAATGGCTACTAATTATATGCAAGGCAATAAACAAACTGGAAAAAAGCACAACAGCAGAGAAAACAAATGCAAATAGGGTGTTTCAAGGTCACAAGTAACACAGAATATGCATGTCCTGGAATAAAAAATTAAAAAGTAAAGTCTCAGCTAAGCTTAATGATTTCAAACTATATTCTCAAGAAGGATTAGCTCTGGTTCAGACAACTCATTATACAGAGCCATGCCAAAGTAAAGCTAAGTTTGAAAGGAATAGTAAATAACTGGTAAGTCTGACTTTGGACAGTGGCACCAAGACCCAAACCAAGTAGAAGAATTCAGTTCATTAAAATTCATAGCATTTCATTCATTCCATGAGGCGTAGCTGTCAAGACTACCAGAGAGTAAAGACTGAAAAGCTTCCTAACTTACTAAATACTTCCCAAATCTTGCAGTTCCATGCAAAAATACTATACCTGCTATAAGAGCTATAAACTGTGACTCCTAACTCATATTTTACAATGGTTTGTCTGTGACTCCTAACTCATATTTTACAATGGTTTGTCCTAATAATTTCTGAATAAGTTCATTATACTCACCGTAATTACCCTAATATAGGGCTTTAAACTTCATCAACCTCAGAACTGTTTCTTCCTCTCTGGGAATTGTGAATAATATAAAGGGCGATCATTTAGAACATTCTAGCTGTGGCTCTTTCTTTACCTCACTATGTAACAATGAGCCGCAGAGCACCTCAAATATATCACCATCACCAATTCTGACTTCAACATCCCTCAATTTAATGACTGCCTAGTAGTTGTCTTCATTTTACTCTTCCAAATCTTTCACTACCGAGTTCCCACAGTAGGTCCCAAATGATAAGTTAAAATTCCTTGAATGATTCTCTATTTCTTATAAAGTGTAAATTCCTTACCATCACTTACATGACCTTGTAGATCTAACTTTTGGATTACTTTTCTGGTCTTACCTTTTACTTTGACCCCTAGTTAAACTCTCCATTTTAGCAATTTTAACTTCTTACAACTACCATGAGATTCCAAGACCTTTTATCTCTGCCCCTCTGCATGCTACTTCTTTTCACTATGAAGTCCTAATGAATCATCAAGGTTCAGATTAAACACACTTAACCTGTCTTATGAAACCCTTCTTAGTCTCTTCCTTTTAAATAGGCATGTAACATACAATTGAATCCTCTGTGACTCACACACGTATCTCGAGCTATATAATGCTCTTGTGTTTTCCTGAGGTTGTTAAAGGGAACAGCTGTGTCTTATTTCTAGTTCTGGTTTCTAATTCATTTCATGGTAGGTACCAAGTTTGGTGAATTAATATTTCTTTGCAGAATAAGAAAGCTTAAAAAAATGCAAACTAAAGTCCCCTTACGGGGCTGGGGATTTAGCTCAGTGGCACAGCACCTGCCTGGCAAGCCCAAGGTCGTGAGTTCAATTTCCGGTACCGGAAAAAAAACAAAAAATAAATAAATAAATAAATAAAAATAAAGTCCCCCTTACAAACAATAAACCAAAAATACATCATTCCTCAAATGCAACAAAACTGATAGACTTTCCTATTTTATTTAAAAATGACATGAAAGTAAATCAAGAGGTCTCTTTCGCATCTCCTTTTAGTTTTGCCCCTCAACACAGTATTATGTGGTTAAATTTCCCCACAGAGATTTAGGTATAAGAGCCACCCTCAGACAAGAAACATACCCAGGGAGCTTTAAACATTACAAAATAGTAAGAAGTCACTGTACTGGGAGGATCTTAGAAATAATCATTTCCATTTATATGTTCAGAGAGAAGACTGAGTTTGCTCAATTGCTGAAGTTATATAGAGAACTGTGTGTATAACTCAGACCTTTCTAGAACATTGTTTCTTATAAAGCAAGGGATTCAAGGAAAGAGCAGCAAATGCACGTTAGGAAACGGTAAAGGAACTCAACATAATTCATAAATTTCATGGATATCTATTATTTCATTGGGTCCCCTAAGCAAATTGAGGAAGAGGAGAAAATATTTTCCCCCTGCTATGAGCAAGAAAAATAAATTCAAGAGCAGTCGATCAATTGGCTCACGCAGCTTAAAATGTGAGTTTACACTATGATCTATATGCTCCAAAACCTAGTCATGTTCTCCAATAGCAGAAGTTTTAAAAGCAAAAAGAACTATTAGATAGTCACTATAGGATTTGTAAACTAACAGGGAAGGAATCAAAGATATAGGAAAGGTCTCCACCCCTGGCCTAGGTACAGGCTCTACAATTCTGACATCAATCCCTCTTGCTCCCCAAATGCTCACAGGTCTTTGTAGCGCTTCTGGAGCTGAGCCTGTGCTTTCAGATCTTCTTCTTGGAGCTGTTTCGCCACCTGGAGATCATGCTGGACCAAACGGTTCCTCTGAATGTTTGACGCCAGATGATGCTCAACTGAGACAAGATGATTGAAGAGAAGAATTACGATATTAAGGCTTGTCACAAAGTAAAGAACCTCAGAAGAAAATTAAAAGTAGGATTAACATTAAAACAAGCTTCACACACACCACTACGTAAAAAGGGGACCAAAAAGATTAAATAATTTGTCTTTAGTCCCATGGCAAAAAAAATAGTAATGCTAGGACTTCTAAACAAATATTCTGAGGCAGGACCAATGTTCTTTCTATTACCACACACTGTCACTCTATTTATTAGCTGTACTTTTCAATTCTTTTTATATTGATGAATTATTCTAGAATCACAAATATAAATATTGTCTGTATATAACTTCCATTTACTTTCCATCAGAAAAACGCAAAAATATTTAGAAAAATCCACACAATGACCTGAAAAAGATGTTCAGGTCCCTATTCTAGCAGGCAAGAACAGCATCTCAGCCTCTGACTGCATTACTGTCTACCTTCCTCAACAGGGAGAAAAAGGTTCAAGTTCCTATTTTCCTCTTACAGACTCATCAGTCTTACAATCTTTGATAGCCTGACTAAACCACTCAAAAATTCATTTTTTATTCAAGCATCATTTGCCCGGACAAATCTTTCAGGATAGATGTATGGTATAGTCTGGGGACTGTGTTCTCTCCCTACTTTACCCTAAGAAAATAGCCTGAAGCTACCACTGAAAAAAGAAAACCGAAGGCACAGGAATGTGGGCCATTACTCACTCTCTTGTTCCTGCAGGTTGTGAGCCAGGGTGTGGTCCTCCAGGACAGCAAAATCCCGGCATACTGCAAAAGATGAGTGAGAAAGAGCAGACAGGAAGGTTCATTAGCAGTACTTTTACATAGAAAGGAAATAATCTGTTTACTTAAAAAATATCAACCCTAATATTCTGAGATGATCAAATTTATAACTTGCAATGCATAAAATAGTGATTACTAAATTTGACCTCTTTATTCACAAAAAACCATATAGTGTTTGCTGAGTACAGTGTCATAAATAATGGTTAGCTCTGGTCTCTTGCATGAGGTGAAGACATTAACCACAGAACTAGAACCCAGGTCCAGAAATTCAGGAGGTAAGTACTGCTAAAATAAAAGAAGTCAACAATGTACCGTATATTGGTTCTCAGAGAGACCTGGGTTCTTCTATGGTCAGAGGTATCAAAACAAATCTAGCTTTACCTCAGTCATCTGTACATCAAGGGATTCTCTAAGAGTCATGTCTGTTAAAATGTCCTTAGGAAAAAATATCACTTTCATTAGTCCTTCATGTGGGAGCAAATCTCTACTTCTCCAGTACTCACATTACAGTGGTACCTTGGTTTATAACTTAATTTGTGCTACGGTTTTGGAAAAGCAGGCCATGTTTGTACAGGAAAGATGGTCGCAGTCATGTTTGTTACCCAATGTAGAGTTTGCAAACAAAAACAAAATTTTGCCAAATGCTTTTGTTTACATAACGAATTGTTGAGAAACAAAAGCATCCGTGAACTCAGGTACTCTGTATTTGATGGCTGGTTTCTGAGCAGAAGCTACTCTCAAATAATCCACAAACCCAAAGAAAATGGGAACTCTAGAGGAAACAAGGAATTTGCCCCTAACTTTGCCTCCATCTGAAGATCCAAGCAAGAGCATCTGCTGGACTGTTTCCTAGAAGCAAAATGGAAAGAGATGACCTCCACGTCTAGTTTACCCTAACATGCAATTTAAACTGTTACTTCTTAAAAGGAACATATGAACAAAAGAAAACATGAAAGATTCATCACAAATTGTGCTGTTTCAAGGACATGTAGTTTGGGTGGTAAGTTCTCACTCTATCCCAAACTTTTAACTCACATTAAGAGAAGGAAAATTCTCCAAAGCCTTGACTATTACCATGTATGGGATGCACGAAACTATTCCCTAGGGTTATGAGACGTTACATACCCCTTCTCCATCTTTGGACTTGTCTGTGAGGGTGTTTAACTGAAACAGAGTGCAGAACACTCCCCTGCCACCTCAGCACTTAGGAACGTCCGTGCATACAGCTCACAGTTCTGCTCCTGAACTAGACATAATGCAGTAAAAATAGAGAATCTGAAGAATGCCAAGATTACTTCGAAATGGTTTTAAGGTAAAGGTAACATTCCCACCTAAGAACCACACTAAATTGAGTATGACTTGCTTACCCCTTGCACAAACATAACTATAAAATCAATAATTTTAAAAGAAACCTTGGTTTTTTTCATCAGATGAATTCTCAGAAAATTCTAATTTGACATCTCACTGGTCTTGCTATTCTGTCAGGAGCTTCTTACTATATTGTACAATGAGCACTTAGCAGAAAAATAAGACATCCATAAAATAAAGTAAAACTACAATGTAAACACAAAATTCTACCACAGAAATAAGCTTTGCTTCAACTGTCACACTTAAGGCAATCTACACACATGACAACTGCACGTTCCATGTACAGTTCTTACTTTCACTGACAGCACACGTGCTTAGCTTTCCTTTCCTCCGTGCATTCTTGTCACCTCTCTTCCTGTTTTGTCAGGAGCTTCCTACTACATTATACAACATGCACTTAGCAGGGAAATAAGATGTCAATAAAATAAAATAAATGTGTCACGAGTGTTAGAATAGACATCACATTTTCACGTCAGCTGTTTACTTGCTTATAAAACCTAAACGATAACATCAAAAATAAAAACCTATGTAAGCCACACTGTAAACAAAAAAGCCTACCACAGAAATAATCTTTCCTTCAACTGTCACACCTGAGGCAGTCTTCATACATGACAACTGCATGTTCCATGCACAACTACTGCTTACACTCATAGTACGTATGTTTTGTTTTCCTGTCCTTTCTTGTAAGGCACAATTAACATCTTTTTTGTTTTCCTATTGCTGTAGTAGGTTTTTGTGATGCTGCACCTGCCTGTTCACCAGTCAGCTTACCGGTATGGTCCACAATTTTCTTGCACAGTACACTGGGGAGACACATTTTGCTTCTCCTTTACCACAAGCTCCCTAGTGGAGGTTATGAGCTCCAGTCTCAATCCTCTAAGAAAATTTCCCCGTGGTATTTTGCACTTGTTATTTTCTTTATAAACTATCAAACTATTAATGCCACACATTTAAGATCAAGTAAAAGACAACCACTAGCCAATGTTTTGTGTTTCAAGTGATATCACAGTTGTTGCATAACTCATCAAAAACATCTAATCTCCTTTGGTTTTGTTGTTGAAAGTTTTCGTCTCAGGCTTCGGATCTGTTGCAGTTTCCCTATTAACATTTCCATCATGGTGAAATGTTGACATCAGCAGTACCAGTTTGTTTTTCTTTGCCATATATGAGCCAATGCTATACCTGTCGGAAATCCAAACATTGTACTGTACAACTCTCTGTTTTGAAATTCAACATTTCATTTGGAATTTCTGCTTTGTTCCCGTGTACAGTTCCTACACTGGTCAACTTGGGCTCTGCTAGCAAACACAACATCACTGGAAACCGGTAAACCAATTGTTCAGTGTCACATTCCGATTAGTTTGGGAAGTGAAAACAATAAGTCTGTTCACAAAATCATTCAGTTTACTACTATATGAATAAGGACCTGATGGTTGAGTTCAACAAAAAATGCCTAAATTGAAAGCACAATAAATCTTTGCATCTACAAAGGCATACAGTTTTATGCCATATTTTGACCCACCACTTTTCCGTAAGTCTTTTACATACCTGCAATCACCACAAGAAATCTGTGCTAAGTATAGTAGACCTATGAATGCTCTCAGTTCCGCTAGTGAGGTGTCATAATAAGTACATTTTTGAATATAGTTATTGGTGCATAGAGAACGGTTTACTTGCATTTCAGTCTTTATGTATTTCACAGCATCTTGTATCATTTCTCACTACAATTTCCAACACTGAATAGCCGTGCTGGCTTTCTGTCCGATGTTTTACCCCTGCCAAGACTCTCACTATATTTTCAGACCTAGTTCTAAGAGTGGATCATTCCATTTGGTTGCATGGCCATTTTACAACATTTCAACTTGTCAAATATGTATCCACATTACTGTTTTGTCATCTGAATCAAGAAGGTCTGCATTTCCTGTGTGTATCAGCCGATTCTTGCTCCATTTCACTGTCACAGGAACTCTGGCTCTCACGGCCAAAGTCACACTCATTATCATCATCATCATCATCATCACGCACCCACACCACTCTTCTGTTTATTAAAGAACGTATTTTACCATAATGGATCATCTTCCCCATCCATGCATGAGTAATCTACTTTTGAACTCCTCCAAAACTTACAAATATGGTGTTTTACGTGCCATTCTATTGAACTGGGCTACTTCCACCAGAAAAATCAAAACTTTTTTTTAACAAATCCTGGAACGGTCTGAATCTACTTTACCCTCTGTGATACTCAGGTAAACATACACAAAACCAGTTAAAGCATAAAAGTGGGTCCAAATCCTGTTTTGCCACTTTTGCACACTGGACGCTTCTTGCAGTCATACCAAGTGGGCAAACACGCAGAGTGCTTCCTGGGTGCCTCATGGAAAGGCACTGAGATGCACAGATGGCTACTATAACGCTAAAGTACAAACTTGCAGTAGAAAAGCAAGGGGTAGGTCTGCTGGACCTAGGCTTATGCCCGTATTAATTTGAGTCACAGCTTCCGAGGTTCCTTTTTATGTTTTGTTTCGCAGTACTGGGGATCAAAGGCAGGGAGGGACTCACACACACTATACCCCGGGGTTCCTGGGTTTCTAAATTTCTTATTCTTTATATAGTGCTTTATGTAGTACATTTTAAAGCATATAATTAATTTTTAAATACACTTCTTTCATTTCATCAACAGCATATAGTCCTATACCATGAACATGAAAAAAAACCTGTTTGCTATATCAGAACTGGTGTAAGAATTAATGAATAATAATTCTTAATTATTTTTAAATATTTCAACAGTGTACTGCAATATATTGAATTATTGTGAGTTGATCGTGGATCTTCTAACTGCAGAGGTTGAACTGGTAGCCAAAGGCATCAAAGAGGCCTGAGCTGGAAGAGGCATAGATCTTCAGTGACTAAAGTACACATACAAAGAGAGAGCTGTACTGTCCAACACACTAAATTACATAGCACTTCACAGTTTATAAAAACTTCCAAATATATGATTTCATTTATACTGAAGTATTTGGTCAATCTACACATTTTTTCTGCATCTACTGTAATTTCTTTCAAGATTTTCTCTGCATTCCTTGTATCACTACTCTTAACATAAACTGGAAAAAAAGAGCCACACATCCAGTCACTTTTGTAAATCAGTAACTGGACTAAGATTACAGGTTACACTTCACAGCCAGGCTAAGTTTAAAACCTAATGGGCCTTTGCTTCTCTCACCTACTTTACTTCCATGTAAACAGTGCCAATGGCATGTAAGGAGTAAACACTGAGAACTCGTCTCACTACTTCTCCCTGTGGATACATTTAAGGTGAGCTCTGGACTCGTGTCCTCCCCCTTCTCAATTTTCTTCCCTATGTTCACAGTTATGCAGAACTCAGGCCAGTCTTCTTGGTGTAAGCCAACTCCATCACTGTCTTCTACTGTCCTAGCCTACTGCTAAAATGAGTGCCCTCACTACAGACAGCCATCTCACAACTGTTTTAGTTCCCACTCAGACTTCTTTTTATCTCAGACATTTTCCCAAAGTTAAAGCATGGTGGCTTGTCTCTGTAACTCTGCCTCTCTGCTTACAAAAGTGTCAACAAAAAGAAATGCATTTTGCTCTTGCAA